AAGCTTCTCAGCTAGTAGCTACAAATGGAACATGGTTGGGCAAACGAACTTTGGATGCTCTTTGATACATTTATGTGTTCAGTTCACCAATACAAACTGTTCATTTCAAATGCTCATACAAAGGCTCTTGGTGGAACCATTCTAGAACTCTCAGTCCTTTGGACTGAATTGACCCCGTGATGCTTCAAAACATCCAGATCTTCCGTGGACCAGTTGCGTGATTCAATGATTCATCTCTCCATGAATATCCCTTTTTCAAAACGACATGACCTCGAAGTCGATCGTCTTCGAAGTTCACATCTCTTCGCTTCTCAGAGGTGGCTTGCCGATTCCAATGGCTTGTCGGAGGTGAACCACGAAGAAGCCAGTTCTGGTTTCGAGGTCTTCCATTTCGATGTGCAGCATGTGAAAAACTATATGTGTCAAAACCATTTACATAGACATCATAGATGTCTGATCGTAAAAGCGGAAGTGAGCTGCTGTGATATGTTTGTGTCAAAACACCTGTGATTTGTCTAAACCAGCCCATGTTTAAAACCAACAAGAAGACACAATGCGATGTGCCATGTCCATCTTTGAAGATCACCACGCCTATGACGAGGCCGACGATCGGGATGATGAAGGGCTTCGCCCTTAAAACCGTCGGCGTATCACCACGCCGTCTCCGAGGCGAGAACGTCCCGCGTCAGTCAGCGGCCCCCGAGACAGGGGGCGCTCAACGAAATAGACCGGCAAACGGACTGCTACAGGGGAGGAAAAAAGGGTTTTGCTGAAGAATTCAATCAGGTTGGTGGTTGCGTGGCGGTTCCCTTGCAAGTTTGCTTCGAGGGGTCTTCAAGAGAAGGCTCACACATGTGAGTGTCTGTAGATGTGCCGGAGGATTCAACTTATTATATGAAAATGAAGAACTGAACCCACCGCAAATCCTGAAGTTAATAAGAAGTGGACCGTTTAACCGTTTAACCATTCATTAATAAGAACTGAACCTTCGTTTAGAGATGTTCCGGAGACCCACCGTGAATCTGAAGCGCCTTTCAGGACATTATGATGAGTGCTTCCAGGTGTTATTTCAACAATGCTCAAACACCTGCTTGGCAGGGACACGTCTTGGTGTGAACCTCGACGAGCCGGCGTTTGTTCCTCTTAAAGTGCTTTCATTGTATTTCATAGCACCTGGATGCCTTTCCGGACAAAACTATCTGACAGATTGAGAGGAGTGTAAAAACCATCGCACAGCAGCAAGGTGTTCTGCTTCTTTGGCGCAATGGTCGACCATTTGCGAAAATCCTTCCCAGTTTGGAGAGTCAACCTCCGTGCAGGGCATCCCTCTTCGAAGTTTTTCTGGCCCTTAAAAGCCCCGGGGGGCGCTCGTACAGGTACGAGTAGCCATGCCATGTTCAAAGATTGGGTGACAATCATCGACTGAGTCTATGAATGACAATCAGGTGCTTGCGTGGAAGTGATAGACTACCTATTCAGCAAGATGGAATCTTGATACATGAAACCGCCCCATTTGGGATTGTGAAACCTCAGGTTATATGGGGGGGGTTAAATCAACACCTGCTCACCAGCTCTTGTCACCTGCACCAGAAACCGCCCCATTCTCTCTCACCGCCCGCTACCCCTCTCTGCCGTGGGTCGTGTCGGACTCCAAGGTGTCCAACATGTGCCTCGGGAGACGTGAGACGTGACCATCACAGCTCGGACCAAGCCGTCCAGTCCACCCAGAAGAGGCCGTCCAGTCCACCGGACCCTGAGGCCGTCCAGTCCACCCAGAATCCAGTCCAAAAAGCCAGTCCAAGAAGGGTCCAGTCCAAAACCACCGATGAAGCCTACCAAGAATCGGACCTGAATCCGGGCCCTTCTTTAATTATGAAAAAGGGTTTTGGTCCGCCGACTCCTTCGAGGGAAAGACGTGTGTCGGAGGGTCCAAGGATTCCGAGAACTCTTTTTGAAACGTTCGTGCTCTTTGAGGTCGGGGAAAGCCACTTCTAAAACTACATCTAAAAACATCTAAATACCCAGTATAGATCATAGAGGTGGCCAGTATAGGGTCTCTTTTTTTCTTCAGAAATCGCCAAAGTGCACGAACTCGATCTGGACGCCATGATGTATTGGATGCACTTCTGGATGAACCATCTTCCCCGCCTCAGCAGGTCGTCGGTCTCGCCGATGTCTTGTGTGTGTCCACAGGGCGTGGAGAAGCAAAGTGAGGGTGTAGTGGGACCTGCAGCTTAGAACTCATGAGTCATGAGAGACTGTCCCAGTAATTACAAGCTGTTATCAATGCTTCTTCTTCTGTAGCACATGGTCAATACTGGAATGAGATAGCTACCTGACCCTTTGCTCCCAGCCAATCTCTCATCTGCTGGAACCTCTGATTTCCTCCGAGTTCCAATCAGGACTCGGCGCACGAGGAATCGGACTGTGCGCGCCCTCACCGGCGACTCAGGTGCCACCGCTCGAGCCACAGAAATCTGGACGGTCGCGACGTGTCGCTGCAGTCAGCCGCGACTCTCCAAGCGACTGATAAGATGAACCGTATGGAGAGTAAGACCCTCTTGAGCGAGCCGTATGGTAGTATGGCAACAGTATGGCAATGGATTGTTCAAACAGAACCCTCTTGCAGTATGGTGCAGTGGACTGGGAATCTTCCAGTGGCTGGGTCGACACCTGGAGCGTTGGTTGACCTCACTGGCATAGTTTCTTCTGTTCATGTTCGGTGAGTCAAGCAGAATCCCCCCCCGGTGGTGCCCACCCCACCCCATCCACAACGTCCACTCTTCTGCCCTCCACAGCATCGCTCCCGCTTGGGCGAGCAGAGCGCCGGGCGAGCAGAGACAGCATCGAAAGATCCATATGATGGAAACTGCACGCAGAACACCCTTCTCCCCCAGTCGGAATGATAAAGCGAATGGCAAAGCAAAGACCCAAAGATCTTCACAGCTTTCTGTGAGTCGACGAAGCATTTCTCAGACCTGTATAGTATATAAAAGGGCCCCAATGGCAGACCGACATGTTCAATGGCCGACACCTTAATCCACCAGCCCACCGGCTCGACTTTGGGGTTTCGACTCCGCCAAGGTCATCGGTGCGGCTTCGGATCCCCCAACACATCCGAAGAAAGACCGGAATCTCGGCGAAAGCTCTCCCTTGCGGTGGCCCGGAGCTTAACCCCTCAAAAACATGGACATGGTGGTTGTTTGGATGTCATGGATGTCACGGTCTCAACCACCATCCAATCTGAATCTCAAACACTTAGTCTGGCCATGTAGCATCTTCTGCTGACATGGCATCTGAGGATCTCTCGAACTCTAATGGAGACTACGCAAATTCAGTTCCTCTCAATTGTCTCACGTCGATATGTCGCACAAAACAATACCATGACCAGCTCGAGGCTATAGAATACTAAAATGAGTTGACATGTCAGTCGTTTTGGCACTGAGTCTGTCCACGCTGGTGTAAACCCAAGAAGTAGTCGCATCTGATATGTACCAAAAATGCTTACGTATTCCACGTGTTTACTGTTACGTTATGTATATCTGATTGTTTTATGATGTTGTTCATTTTTACCCAAGCTTGGCACCCTGGAAAACGTTCAGGGAAGTTGATGTGCTTTTGTTTGCTTGTGATTCCTAGCTTGCTCAGGCTTCGGTAGTTGCCTTGCTACACCTGCAACCCATCGACGCAGCAACCGCTACTCCGAAACTGCCATCTGGCTCATTGCAGCAAAGGCATCCACGGGATCCCACATCGCACGGAAAGCAGGAAGTGCGTAACAACCAAAGGATCTTCAGTACGCTCATGCGTAATTGCCGGGTAGCTATGGAAAAACCTCAGACTGGGTTGGAAACCAACCGGTTCTAGTCAAGACAACACAGCAAAGGCGTGTAGAACTGCTACAGGTTGAGGATCTGACCCGTCACCACTGGACCACGCAATGCGCAAGAAAGTACGGTACAGCTGCAGAGGTACGAGCAAAGCAACCCTCGTTGACGAAGTGATCGGCTTCAATGTCGGCTTAAGTTTTGCATATATACTATATACACAAGTGTGCATATTATAGTTGCCGACGAAAGAGAGAACAACTATCAAAAAGTACAAGTTATGTGCGTTTCTTGATCTAGTTGGTGTCCAGTAGACAAGCGATATGTTCATTCTGATCAATTCTGATCAATCATATACCATTTAAACATATCTAAACGTTGCTGGGAAGGTCATATACCGTATAACCTTTTTTTGCTATGTAACACGGTGACTCCAACGTATGATCGGAACGGGGTCCTTTTGTGGATGCCCAGATGAAAGGCTTTCAGACGATGCACTCAGGGAGCCAGGGACAAGGCAAAACATCAGAAAGCTGAGTAAAAATGGGTGAAGGGCCATGGCACTTGTATACCCTCCCAAAAGATATAGACTTGGCAGAACAGCTGCACGCACGATGTCATCTGGCAGGGCAGTATATCGAGATTATTAAGGGTTTTATAGTGCACAAGTCACTGGGGTTGTCCAAACACTCATGTTCGATGGCGGAACCTTCGACCACCGAGTTTTTTTGGATCCTCGAGTTGCGGACCAGAACTGGAAGAGCTGTTATTTGATCGGTTCTTTTTCTACACCGCCCACCCATAGTCGATGTGGACAATGATCCTTCAGCATCCTTTGTGGGCAATTTCTTCTTGAACCCCTCCCTCCCCACCCAAAAAAAAAAAAAGGAACCACTTTTATAGGAACTTGAGGTATGCTGCCTCCAATCCCCCATCATTGATACCGACCCTGCTCCTGATGGCAACGTCTCAACCGCAAAAAAAAAACTGCACTGCGAGGCTGGAGGGCTGTCCCAAGGCAGAAGCGGAGACATGGTGTTTCTTTTGCACAGGATGTTCACCACTCTCGAATCCAACCCCTGCCTCAGGAGAGAGTGGTCACTGTCCATTCGGCAAAGGGGTGCTCGTCTCAGCACTTGTGCACCGTCCACCGTCTGCGCGAGCGCTCGAACATCAGTAGACGTTCAAGGCGTCAACGGAATGGACATTCCTTGGCACGAAGGAACGACTCCCCCACGGTGAAGCGAAAGCGAATGCGCGACCCTCGCGGAAAGCGAAGGTCGAAGAACGGGCTTCGGGTCGTCCTGGTCTTAGCCAGAACGCTTCGGGTTGGAAGAACCACATCCTTTATTGAGCACATTACAGGGCTCATCTCACACTCCACAGACTACCAGACAACTTGAGAGTAACTATAGGTGCATCGCTACGTTCGTAACAAGTGCATTACTACGAACGTAGCGTCCGAAGCTGCGAACCTAGCGATGCACCTGTTGTCTTCCGACCGGTCGAGGCCGGCCCTTGGTTCACCCTGCGACCGTCCTAGGCGACCGTCACGAAGGGTGCCAAGTTTCTGCAGCTGCTGAGCTACATTGTAGTCACCTGGGTCGTGAAGAAGGCATGGAGGTGTGGTAGAACTGCAGAAGTTCGGCGGAAGTCGGAGCAACATCTTGGTGAAGGGAGACACTCATCTAGACTGTTGATGAATACATAACCCCCTGAATTGGAGTATGAAACCTCTCCATATGGTTTATGCTAGTCCATCAACGGTCTACAGTCTACATTCTTCGTTATTACAATATACTCTTGTTTACCCAGGTCTACCCAATCTATGCAATTTGACTTGAGCACGAAGTTGTTGCCACAACATCAATCATGTTAGCCCTTCTTCTCACCCAGTTCGCCAAAAACCACCTCCAAAGGAACGCGCACGCGCGAGGTCAGAGGTCCCTCTCGCGCGAGCGGAGGTCCTCCTCCTCGCGGATTCACCCCTGGTTCGTCGTCCAGTGGCAGCTTCCCCCAGCATTGGGATGGCCCCAGGTGACCACTTTTCCGCCCGCCACGATGGCGGCGAAGGCCTGGGCGGCACTGGTCGCTGAGGGTCCGCGGAGCTTCGCACGAAGTCGAAGATGGAGAAAACAGCAAAAACATAAGTTTAACAGCTCCTTGTGTACCTGGCAAACACCTTTTCAAATGGATTCAAGTTGGTGTGAATCACCACTTGAATGAAGAAGAAGCGGTTTGTTGATGCTCCCGAACTGACCAGAGACCAGCAACAAACCATCCACCATCCACCAAACCGGGTCGTTTGATCAACCGGGAACGTCGATCAACGCGCCGCCCTTCACCGAGCGGAATGCACGGGACCGGTGGCGAAGGACCGGGACCGGACCACCAGAGACGGCGTCCGGACCGAACCCAGCTGGTGAATGGCTTGGAGGAGTGAGCGAGGACGACACCACTTGCACGACACCACGTGACCACGTCACCACGTCACATATTGGTCACCAACATGGAAAATGTCACAGCCCGAAATCTGACGCTTGGCACTCACAGAGACGGTTTCCTCGGGGTAGTGCTTCAAGCTGGTGACACTGAATAAATCGTTCCACCCCCTCGCGATCAATAGAAAGCTGCTACGAGTACGATCTCTGAAACTTCCAATTCACCAAAGCTCAAAACCCCATCTCTTCACTGTGAACCGTGAGAACCTTCCCAGTCTCTTCGGCTGCCCCACCTGTCGCGAGCCCCTCACTTGCTGCACTTCCTGTGCTGAGGAGCCAAGTAGGGGGGTGACAACAAATGGATTTGAAAGCAAATCTAAACCAGTGCGCATCAATACCGCATCAATGTGTTTACTGTTCATATTCACATGATGCATGAAAAGTTATTCCTACATATAAGCATCATACGCATCAAAAAGTAGCTGTTAAGCATAGACAATGAGTTGCAACACATTGTTAGTAACCTTTTGAGGCTCATCAAGTTCCAATTGAAGCTCACCATGCCTTGAGGAGGTGCTGCACTGATGAGCTGTCGCCACCGCAGTGCTTCTCACCCCAGGTGACCACCTACCCATATGGAGAGATGAGATGGAGAGAGTGTTCATCATGGCTCAACTTTCAGCACCCTGTTTTTCATAGCTGTTTTCAACAGTTTTTCTAACATGTTTGCAAAAGAACATCCAAGAGGTCTGCGTCCAAGCACGGACTGCATCACCGCGGACGCTCGTTTTTGGCAGCCACGGTGCCACAGTGCCGCGGGCCGCGCCTGCCCGTTCTGCAAGATCGCCGCGAAGGCAAAGGCGGTCGACGCCACCTGCTGCACGTCCTGCAGGAAGCGTGGGAAGCGTGTAGGAATGAAACGAAAAGCTTCGTCAACTCTTGGGTTTGAAAAGTCCAAGCACAGCAGCAATGGGGACTTCAGATTGACCAGTTGCAATGGAGATGTCTTTTTCTTCGTGTCTTTTACTGCTGTTGAGCACGTACATGTGGATTGGCCTACAGCCTGTACCCCTGAGTTTTGAGGTCCTTCCTGCGTTCGCTCGATGTGGCTCTGGAAGCCAATCTGAAAAATTCCAAGGCCTCCAGCTTCAGGCTTGATGTTCCAATTTTCCAACAAAGGTATTCCCAAAAACGGACGAAGGTCGTCTCATCCTGTCTTCTGGGTCCATGTTGGCGCTAGGAGCGAGCGGTTCCAGATTCACACATACTCAGTAACCAGACCTTCATGGACAAAGCTTTCAGAGCAGCATGGGATCTTTTTGACCCAATTCCCTAGCAATTCGACCAGCCATTCCCGATGTGCGTTCACCCTCATAAAGCCATAGGGTCTATACAAACAAATCGGATAAGACTTCGAATATCGCTATATATACATCGGTCTGTCTTACTATGAATTAGATACCTGCTGATGAAGAGGAACAATTCTGGAGAATAGCTACATATCATTGAATACCGCCCACTCATATCCGATATCGCTTCCTCTTCAACCACGTGGGTCTGTCACAGCACCCTTTGCTCCTTCAGGGCCCAGGTCACCCTCCAGGAGCGCCCACCGCACAAGGGGTCGCCCCAAATCACGCATCCTCCGCCGGTCGCAGGTTCGGAAACTCTGAGAGGCCCGAGGGGGGCCGAGGCTTGTGCTTCGAGGGTCTCAAGTTCGTCCTTCTGGCTGGGGCCGGGTGTTCTTTTCTTCTTTCCGGTCGTTTCTTTCTGGATGGATCTCACAAAAGATGTGGAGATCTCCAAACATGCATTTTTGGTGTTGGGTACCAAAACTCATCTTCATGATGTGTGATGTGGAAGTGACCGACCCGCCGTGGCCCCCCTCTAATTGGGAGACGTCTTCCACAAGGGTTGCTTTTTGTCGACTGCTTTCAATTGCATTTGCATGCATGTGCAAAGTTCTATACCAGATGGCCGAAAGTGAGCTAAACCCGCTCATGCGGCCGAAAGATCAGCATCGCCTCACGCAGCAGGCAGATCTAAGCAGATCTGCAGGGGATTTGCACCGCTTGTAATTTTCGCTCAGAAAGAAATCACAATAGATGGGTGGTGCATGAAGTCAGTCATGAAACGAAGCACATTGATCCCAACAAAATCTAACACACACATGAACAATTTAATTTACTTAGTTACATCTCCGCTGTATAACTACAGCCTTTAGAAACATAAGACTGCCATAATCGGATACAATAGGTCTCCAACCAAAGCACCATAACATTGCAATGGGCATGCTGCAGGGCAGAAAGCACAAAATAAGACATCAATCGGTCGGAAATGGGTCCAACTCGTTTTGGTGATTCCTTTACGGCGTGCACCGCAGCGGCATCGGCCTCCCCTTTTCAGGGCTTCGACGAAAGTCCTTAGCGGACCACGAGGGCGGTCGGGGCGGTCATGCCCGGAGTAGTGCCAGCTGACTCAGCTGGTGAACCGCTTCTCCCCCACAAGGGGCGACCACAGCATCCCCAGCAAGCGCGTTAGCCCATATGCCTTGCTGTCATACATCGCGACCGGCGATGCGTTGGCCCCAAGGATACCCAAGCGCCTGCACCCGGCCAGCGGTGCACCAGCTGCCGCCAAATATGGCTCCAGGGTTCGCTGACGTAATGCCATGCGAAGCCCTTCACAGTTGTCAGGGTTGGCGCAAGTGTATACATTGCTTTGTCCAAAGCTGGCCCCCCGTCGTTTGGAAAAAGATTGGTTCCTTTGTTGGCCAACCTTCTGTTTTGGCTTCCTAGGCATTTCCTGGCGGCCATAGAAGCCAGAGAAGGGGCGAGCTTCACCTCGAGTTAGAGCTCTACGCTATCTGATGACATTTCCATAGTTTCAAAGCTGTCGAGAAACTCCAAAACACAAAGGACTCAAGCACAGGCTTGTGCAGTGTTCGCTCTGGCCACACGACGCATACCCTCGCACTGATGATGCCATGTGATCCCAAACTTACTTGATTCAATTGACCTGAAATGTGATTCATTTGATTTAATTGATTGAACTGGGGCCACTGTTTCTCCACTGTTTCTGACTCAATTGAAAAATGCGAAACATCGTTTTGTGTCGTAGTTGTGTTGTCCACAGGCTTGGAAGGCACTGTCTTGACTCCATCACACCCTAACTCCATATATAGTCGTCCAAACCAACTTACTACTTTCACTAAACCTCCCTGATTGGAACCCTAGGGATTCAAACCCTAAAACGACACTTCTGATAGGTCTTCCTCTTCGACCAAAGCACCATAACATTGCAATGGGCATGCTGCAGGGCAGAAAGCACAAAATAAGACATCAATCGGTCGGAAATGGGTCCAACTCGTTTTGGTGATTCCTTTACGGCGTGCACCGCAGCGGCATCGGCCTCCCCTTTTCAGGGCTTCGACGAAAGTCCTTAGCGGACCACGAGGGCGGTCGGGGCGGTCATGCCCGGAGTAGTGCCAGCTGACTCAGCTGGTGAACCGCTTCTCCCCCACAAGGGGCGACCACAGCATCCCCAGCAAGCGCGTTAGCCCATATGCCCTGCTGTCATACATCGCGACCGGCGATGCGTTGGCCCCAAGGATACCCAAGCGCCTGCACCCGGCCAGCGGTGCACCAACTGCCGCCAAATATGGCTCCAGGGTTCGCTGACGTAATGCCATGCGAAGCCCTTCACAGTTGTCAGGGTTGGCGCAAGTGTATACATTGCTTTGTCCAAAGCTGGCCTCCGTCGTTTGGAAAAAGATTGGTTCCTTTGTTGGCCAACCTTCTGTTTTGGCTTCCTAGGCATTTCCTGGCGGCCATAAAAGCCAGAGAAGGGGCGAGCTTCACCTCGAGTTAGAGCTCTACGCTATCTGATGACATTTCCATAGTTTCAAAGCTGTCGAGAAACTCCAAAACACAAAGGACTCAAGCACAGGCTTGTGCAGTGTTCGCTCTGGCCACACGACGCATACCCTCCCACTGATGATATGACCCAAAACACAGATCTCTTGACACAGCAAACAGCAAACGAGGGCTTTTCAACAGTCTTCCTCGTGTGCTGTTTTCCTGCCATTCTGAAGTCCACTCACTCTAAGGCTTCAGAAACAACCTCCCGAACTCTCCGGCCAACAACTCCGCGGCCATGAAATGACCTTCGCCGGCAAGCGGACGCTCCTCCACTGTGTAAAACCGCACAGAAGGCCTTCTCATTGGAATGGAGTTGATACACATCCTCCGATGTGGACTGGAGAACACCCAACATCGGAGCAGGTGGAGAGGGAAGCAGGTGGACATCAAAGACGAACAGTTGAGGTACATCTAGTAGCTTCTTGCTCCTTGTAGCGATGCCAGGAGCCCCTAGTAGCATCTTGTTCCTAGTAGCGATGCCCTTTGCTCCTAGTAGCTTCTTGCTCCTAATACCTCCTAATAATATACGAGCAGGCAAGTATGAAATCTCGACTTTGTTTTTTCAATCTTGGTGCTTTACTCCAACTTGGCAAAAGAAGAGAGCTCAGCACAAGGATTACATATCAAGTTGGTTCGGTGTGCAATCTAGTTCAGCATTGATATCCAGGGCAAGGCATTCCTCTTTTTCTGTGTTGATATCGGTTATTCCAGTCACCCATCAAGCCCAACAGCAACAACAATAATCCAAAATGGTTCCCTTTGAAGAACCTTAGTGGCCTTAGTGGCAGCTTCGTGGAAAGCATGGATTTGGTTGGTTGACGAAATGAAGTCCTCCTTGGTGCTGCTCATCTTCCTCAAAAATCCCACTGCTGCAACATGCATTCCCTTTCCAGGATTGTTTGCTCATGTTTGCATGGAGAGGGTTCGCAAACATAACGCCAACCCCAACGCCCACTTGTCGTCACTTTTCAGTCAAGGGATCATGGTACTCTCCAAAATCACTTGTTGAACAAACACATAGAGCCTCCACCCTGTAGTTTCTGACCCTTGTGCCAGGTCTTCTTGAGCTTTGCTTTGTTTCTTGCTTTACAACAATCATCAAACAAGGCCTAGCAGGGCCTGGCATAGCTGTTGGTAAGCCACTCAAACAACCCTAACACACTCTGGGTACTCAATTCAAGTGATGCATTTGGACGAAGGATCTAAGGGTGGGAGTGTTCTTTTGAAGGCTCCAAACTCCTGAAACATCTCCAGTCCCATTCCTGCAACTGCATCTCGACCAGGCTGGAGTCGCCACCGGCCTGTGAACGACAATGCTGGCCAAAGCCCCGAGTTTGGGCCATTTCAATGGAGAATACCAAGAAGGCTTGGTGAGCAAATGCACAAGTGATGCACAAATCTTTTCAGAGCTCGGACATGTCCTGCTCATGCCATACCTGATTTGATGTTGGAAGTTCAGCTCGGGTCTTTAAGCAGTGCTAGTGGAGCTGCTCTATAAATGTAGCACTACTGGCATCTTCAAGCATTGTATCTCTGATGAATCTTCCCTCCATGAAAGAATAGTTCACCGGATTAGTCAATGGAGAGCCGTGCGCGCATTCAAGACTGAGCAGCTCACGAGAAAAACAATGGGCTTTGCGGAAAGGCATGGCGCAGATGAAATACAGCAGTCTCATAGTCTTCCTCTAGTTATCAATAGGTTGCTGAGACATACTCCACCAACATACCAGTTCTTACCCATCACATTAGTTGTTATCCAACCTGCATATGTCATCATGCACATCTGAAAGTCCACCAGCCGGATCCTTCCGAATCTGCCCAATCCCCAGCCTTTGGATCGCCCCAGGTGACCACTGAACGGTCCTTAGCTTGGCAAGCGGCGGAGGCACCAAGGTATATATCCATCCATTGATCCTGTTTGAGAGCTCAGTTGGGTAAGACTGGTGAAGAAAGCCAAGATGCTCCACATCTCCCAGACTGGACTGATTGATCACCAAGAATCCCATCCAAATCCCATCCCACGGCCTTTGCCCAAAAGGCCATGTACGCACCACGCCCCTGCTCACCCCCCCCCAACCGCCGTGGTGTTTCCAAGCGCGCCTGGCGCGCTTCTCCCCGTTCGCCACGTTCGCCGTGCCTTCCGGAGCGCTGCGAAGGCGCTGCCGCTGCCGCAGAGGGCCGTGACCTGCTCCAGCTGCGTCTGCACCGCCCGGGAATCTCCACCGAAATCCCGGTCCCTGCGAGCGCGTTGGCGATGGGGAGCCGAGGGGAGAGGAGGACCGGAGGAGGAGAAGACCAAATCGAAACGCCGCAAGAGGGGGGGGGCGAACTTTTTGGGAGAAGCTTTGATTTGGATGCTTCCATATCTTTTTGAGGATCATGAGCCAAGGAGATGGCCGAGGTGAGGAAAAGTTGAACAGCGAGCCTTCACCAGGTCTGGGGGACCTGAGAAGCAGCTCTGATGTTTGCTTTGAGATGAAATGGCTGATGTTTGCGTACTTGAGACATGGCCAGTGCCAGGATCTTTCACGGCCACCCTCCCTCTCCGCCTTGGTTTCCAAGCGCCGATTCGACGCCGGTTCCGGTCCGTCGGAACGCGCGCCGATTCGGAGCGCGCCGGTCTTCCGCGGCCCAGGCGCCCCCAGGTGACGACGTGGCCATCGCGGGTGAGAGCGGCGAAGGCGCGAGAAGTGCTGGAGATGTCCACCACCTCCTGCAACTGCTCCTGGCGCAGAACAGCTCGACGGCGCGCGAAAAAAACCCAAGGAAAGCGGACAGCACCAGGCCGATCTCGAATGGTTCTGGAAGGCTTGTTGGGTGTTTTGGGAGAGGATGGGAGGTGGGTTGGTGGGTTGGTCGAAGTGGTTTTTCAACCTATGTGGGAAGCTCCATGGAATCAGGGAACCAGTAGGCAATGCTTGATGGCCTAGAGTCTAGATGATAGTTGGTTCAGTGCTGTCTAGTCTTTTTTCAGAAGCTTGTCACTGGAAACATGGTTCAACAAGGCCCCATGGTTGATCATCTTGGCTCTTTGAGCAGAGGCCTGGTCTAGTTATCGGCGTGGTGATGGGGACAGTCGCTTCCTCCATCAAATGGAAGATGGTTGATGGACCTTTTCTTGGGAGCACGACCCTTTCTTGGGAGCACAGAACACCAACCCAGCTTGCTCAGGAGTTGCTTCAAACCATTTGCCAGTTTATCGCCACCCCGAGCTGCTCACTCAAATATCCGAGCACAAGTTGTGGCACGGGATGGGTATTCTCCACTTCAATACTTCCAAGTTTTTTGGATCCCAAATTCAGCAAATTCTCTGCTCGTGTTCAGCTTCTACAACATCTAGGACGCCCTATTTTGCTGGGAAAAGCACCAAACCACACTGCTGGTCACCAGCAAATGAACCAACATGTGCATTTTCACCCACCAGAATCATCCAGAATTCCTTCACTTTCAACATAAGAGATCTTCACCACATGTCACATATATGAAATTCTGTATATTTATATACTTAAACCCCAAAATACAACCACGAAAACAACCATGGAATCATGGAACCAGCCAAGGCCCCCGCGTTTCGGAGCCAGTTTCCTCCACCGAAACAGCGGATGCAACTGCTCCTTCACCCAGCTGCTGTCGCCCCCAGAGGCTGCGTTGCCCCAGGTGACCACTGTGCCGTCCTGCGCGCGGTACCGCGGCCCCAGGTGTCACCATCTTTCTCAAGAGATGCAAAAAGACTTCTTATCAGTTGTCATTGTGCTTCTCCTTTATTGTAATAAGAAGTGAACAGGTCTTCTTGGCAAAAAACGTTTGTTCTTGTGATGTGTGGTGGTGTAGGGTTTTGCTGGATTGGTTTATTCGTCGACACCTCTTTGAGGGCTGCAAAGGCATAGTCGGAGGCGCACAAGCTCCTTAGGCAGAGGTGGCCACCACTGGAGCGACGGCAGAGGTGGCCGAAGTGCACTATATCGTCAACTCAACTGAACGGGGCTTTCTGAACCATGCTTCGTTCTGAGTATCCATGAGTTCCGCTAGTTAGTTGCAAAGCCAACAAAATCCAAAAAGAATCCGTATAACATACAACTGAATGACAAACCAACATCATCCAACATCGTCGTGAGACTCCGTGAGACCCCACCACTCATTGCAGGAAGACCAAAAATATCAACCACGGCTGAGCAACAAAGACATGTTGTAAAGAACGGGCGCCAGATGTCTCCAATACACCGGCAAACATACCCTGTCAATCCCCCGTCATGTGGAGGTCTTCGAACTTCTTCAGTACTCGAAGCTTCATCACTCGGGACTTGGCACGGAAACTGATAGAAAAACACCACCCAGATTTACGCGTACCAGAACCAAGAAATGCGTCAATGAACACGTGTGTTTCATGTGTTTCTGCTGTTGAAGGATCCAAAACGATGCCCAAACAGGAGTCATTCAGGCTTTTTAATGAAGAATTGCCCCATCTTCATCCATCTTGTGCTTCCGAAGTCACTTCACTTTCTTCAGCTGGCTGAGCTGGCGAAGAGTTGAGGGCCGGACAACGGTTCTCTCAAAGAGTTGGTTGGATCATCTAGAATCTTCTCAGATCATTTGCTTGTGCGTCATGGCACCAGGATACCATATGGGATTATCTTGCTTGAGCTGCATGGTGCTACATGGTAAAAACTGGTCGTTGTCTCCATGAATCCTCTGACCCATCGATTTCGGAGCTCCAAGGCGTCCAATTCCGAACCGTCGCCTGCATCGGCAAGCAGTTCCCACCAATTTGGCGGCCCCAGCCTGAAGCGATCGGCCGGCGAGGAGGAGACCGACGGGTCTGGCGACGGGTCGACCCGGACAGACCGGGTCTGGACCTGAACGGGTCAACTGGTCCCATTGGAGGCGTTCGTTAAAAAACACATGGATTTGTCAGGCACAAGGGTGACGATGATGTGATGATATGATGACACCAGTTTCTCGTAGTTCACATAAACATGAACACGTGCTCAGGAATATGAAAAAAATGATTTTATAAAACAGGTGTATGTTCATCTCAGTATGCTGTAGGACCGTTCATTAGTTAGTGCAAGATGATGCAAGCTGCCGGCGCTGATGGTGGCACTGCTTGTCTCCAGTGATCCATACTACCAAGTCCGAGTGGCTCTCCACAGTTCCGTCCATGCGCAGAGCGGCGAAGCCTCCCCTGGGCGTATGTAGATAGGGATGGACTATCTGACTTTCACGAACTGCCTACGACATGTTCAAAGCGGCGCCTAGGCAAAAAAAAGAAGAACACAAGTGTCACAAGATGACAAGCGTGGAACATTCCCAGTTAGGGAGTGGGGAGAGTAGCAAATGAACCCGATTTAGAACGAACGGTACCAATCGATGGAGTGGAAGCTGGTTTTGTCCGACAGCACCGTTGATGCCGTTCGTTTGCGAAAGATCTGATTGATCCACAGGATCCGAGGACAGTTATGGTTGGTCCGTTTTGCGCCTGTCTTATTGGGTGCATATGTCCTAGTCTTACATACATGATCATAACTATGATCATACATGGCTGGGAGCCCATGGGTTAAAGAAAAAAAAACATACACCAATACACGTGAGGTGGCTTTCCTGCAACACAGGGTGTGGCTCAGTGGGATTGAGTACGGTGGGCTCGGTCACGGATGAAGCGTTCAGCATCGGTACACGACCGGTTTTCGTCTTTGTTTGGTCTTAGGGGATGGCGATTGAACATGCACACCATGAACACGATGGATGTGGGTGAATCATATCTCAAAATACCTCCGTGTATCTCCCAGTTTTGACACCAAAACGCCCACACAAACCTGAACAAACCAATAAACATCAACGAACAACGACCTCTCCCAACTCCTTGCCAACGACCCAACCCGTGCCGCGGAGGGTGTTTGGCAGTGCCCTCTCCGGGCTCGTGCCCTCGGAAACCAGCCATTCAGGCGAGCCACACGGTGCCTGCGAGCCCACCGCGTGTGGCCGTGCTGGTGGTCCGAGGAGAGAATTCCCTGCAGAAATGATGAACAAAATCTACAATCCACCAGAAAAACCTCCACAACCATGTCCGGAACCTCTACATGTAGCATCTATTCATAAGCTTTTGTACGAGAAAACCGGAAGTTCACCTCCACCCATCTTTTCTGCTTGGTTCACCTCCTTGATACGTTGCTTTTCATACTCAAAGGTCTCCAATGTTCTTGAAATGGGTCCGCTGTCGGCAGCTGAAGTCTGGGAATGCCCAAAAAGTTTGAGTGATTTAAGTTGAAATGAGGGGTTTTACGATGACAATTGCACCTGGAAGGAACCCCCTGCTTCCAACACGCCGGGCTCGCTACATCGCCACATCTGCCTTCGATTTGCTTCACATTCTCCAGCCATCCGGTCTTGCCGCCCATGCTGCTATCTCCCCAGGTGATGACCTGCCGGAGACAGCGCGGAATCCAAACAGGTGCTATTGTTCTCTCAGAGCCAGTGGGGCGCAAGGTGGATCATCTTTCGTTGTACAGCTGCGCTCCTTCTTGGCCACCTTGGCAGGCCTTGGCCACCTTGCTGGGTCCCAGTCCTCACCCGCTCCTCACACCCATCCCAGTCCTCTGCTTTTCGGTGCAAACCCCCCGGTGACGCCGCTCTGAGTCCGGAGCGGCGCCTGGCCGTCGGCGCGGATGGCCGCGAAGGCACCACCCGAGGCCTGGATCTGCTCCACGTCCCTGGCAGCGGTTCGACCATCTGTGCCGGTCTCAGCCGAGAAATACAGGAAGGCGACGCAAGAACCAGGTGTCTGATCCACAAGTTTACGGTGCAGCCACAGGATCTATAGGTGTGTTGCTCTAAGAGTTTGCTGGTTGGTTTTGTGATCATGATTTGTGTGGAGAACTTGCTTGGGGTGCCGAATGCAGGGGGGAAAAAATAACCGAAACTCTTGGCGGGACGTGGAAGCTGCGGTCAAACTGACCGGTTTCTTCTCGGATTTGTTCCATCATGTTCCGTCTTGATCTGAAGAAGAATCCTCTCTTTCGTGGTGTTCATTCGTCTCTTTTCTTCTCCGGTTCACAAACACCAAAACCACAGGCCCTCCTGCATACAAAAGACACTCAGCGTATGGCAAGTGCATCCACATGCATAATTGTATACCTTATCATACTATCCACCCGGAACCTATCGCTCAAATCAAAAATGCCCCGTTCGAATCTGCGCTTTCCCTGCCCCAGGCTGCGCCTTAGCTCCTGCTGGACTCTTGAGGAATCGCCGCCCAAGCGTCTTGAACCCCAACCTCGTCGCGCAGGAAAACCGCGCGACAGTCTTCCAACGGATATACGGATGAAACAAAGAGGCTACTTTTTCACCCCTGAAACAGTTGGCCAAGTCCCATTGTTGGAAGAGAATAAGGGTTTGGTGATCGACATGTGTGAAGCGCCCGCCCCACCCCCAGTTGCTCGTTGTGCCATTGGCGATAGAACTATATATCATGATCTTTCAACTATCTACCAGTTTGCCATTAAAAACGTGGGCATGGGGCGCCCTCCAGCATGGATCCATGTTGAATCTGTTCCGAGGGACTTGAATCTTGGATGAAAACTCGATGACGAACCAGCAATCGATTGCTTGCCTCGTCGAACATGGGGTCACTATGTCCAATCCACAAAGAAGAAAACACCGTTCTTTAAACGTCAAAAAGAAATCCATCAAACACAAATGGTGGATTTCATAGGCAGTTTCCTCAAACTTCAGAACATCACCCCCAAGCTCACCAACATAATTCCCATCTGGAATGGCCTCCCCTCTTTCCTGCCTCAGTGGCCTCCCCCACCTTCTCACTGCCCTTCCATCTCCTTCCATCTCCTTCCCCACTGCTCACCATCTATACGCTTCCAGCGGCTCACGACGGAGCCATCGCCCCTCATCAGCGCGAAGGCGTAGCTCTGCCGGGTGGAGACTAAGCGCGCTTGCCGCACCGTGGCCTCGGAACGCCATCGGCTCCGACGAGGCGCGCGGGGTCGGATTTGGTGACGGAGCGGCGCTGACGGAGCGAATGGAGGGGGAGCGGCCTGCAATGAAGTTGGGAGAATTGGGGATGTCTTCTCCTTTTTGAGCGGGGTGATCCTTGGAGATGGCACCAGTTCAGAAAGTGTGTTGGAGAGCTGGTCGCGTTGGCAGAGGGAGGCGGTGGAACTGGCACGTGTCCTCTCCTCCCAAGGTTGGGTGCTGACTTTGAAATGCAGAAACTATGTGCATCGTGGTTGATCAATATTCTTTCATGGTCGTTGTATGTAAACCCCCTTACACGCCCCTTTAGATCAACTCTCACATTGGGATTCCCCGCAACTGGATTGTGGTTCAGTTCACTCCGGCCAGCCAGTTCCTCTCACACTCGGTGAAACCATGGGCAGAACAATGGCAAAAATCTCATAAGTCACTCACATAATAAGTGATCGGGCATTGCTTGCGGTGTAGTTTTGGGGCTGACATCTCATACGTCGCCAACGACTTTCTTGCAAGAAAATAGAGCTCCACGTGCAGACCACTTCGAGCTCCCAGGCATGAAGGAGGTCGCCTCCGACTAGCCCTGAGTGGGCCAGCGTGCTCCGGCCCTTCCTGAGTTTCTCACGACAGAATTCAGAAGGTGCGTCGTGTGTACGTGGGGGGATTTTCACCAGGATGATGAAGTTGGTAGCTATTCTTTAAGGAAAAAACAAAATCAGAGGGGCTTGCAAAAATGACTCCCACTTTTTTTTGACTCTCAGTTTCTTGTTTCTGACGCTATTGATACTCAAGAAGAGGGGGAGGAAGAAGATGAAGATGTTCTCAGGAAGAAGAAGAAGATGCTCTCAAATTTCTTCATTTAAGATGCTAAAGCTGAGGGGGAGGAAGAAGAAGAATAAAGTGATGATGATGATGATGATGAACACAAGTCCAACCCAACCCCCAACCTCCAACCCATCACCCAACCCACAACCCAAAGCTTCACGCCAGCTGGTGGAGAGGCAAGTCCTGGCAATCACAGCGTTCAGTGATGAAACGTGTTATCACTAAAAGGGATCCGCTCCGCACAGCTCATTTTCACCCTCACATCGACATGTCATCGCTTTCCGCAGTCACATCGGCGAGACAAATCAGGTTGAAGCCGCACTGATTGAATCTGATCTATTCGTTGGGACCTCGAATCTCGAATGTGGCAAAGAAAACATGTGACAAAAACATGTAACAAAAACAACTGTTGGACAAGGGGCCCAAATGAAAGAGCGGTCCTTCCACCCATGGTGCAATGTGATACATCTTTCCGCCGATTGGGGCCGTGGTATGGTATCCCACATCCTGACCAGGAGCATATGTGCAGGTTGCAGTCACGATGAGAGCCACTACCTTCCCTGCCTTGATATCCATCTTGTTGAGAGTCTGAACAACTTCCATCGCATTGCTTGATTTGCTCAGCATAGATTCACACTGGTTGTACAAGAACTCTTGGGTCTTCTCCCAAACATACCTCGAGTCAAAAACCGGACCCTTGACACAACGGAGACATGAACGACAAAGGAATGCTGTCAAGTAACTTCAGTGTCACAGAGTGCCTGATGTTCTCCAAAGTCACACGGCTATCAAAATCATCACTCCTTGGTGTCAGACTCATTCACTTGACGCACTTAAGAAATCCGACGGCCGAGTGACCCCGGCTCTTCCTGCGTCAAATGGTCTCTCCTGGATAAAGTGATCACGAAGCGCTACAACCTGAAGAAGTACACGGAAACACTGAAAACCAAAACCAAATTCATTCAACACGACAATCATTACAGAATCTTGCAGTTGACACCTGGGCACTGCTCCATCTTGGCCAAGCATGACATGTCATCCAGCTGTCTCACCAGCAACTCAAGCATGAAGGTTTCAGCATCGTCAAGGTCAGACATGGCTCTCTAACAAGACCTGTCAGAACCTGCTCGACAAGGGTCTGCGGAGTGAGGGCAAAGATATGGCACATCAAACTCAAATCGCAGTATTTGACTTTGAACATGAAATGCTCCTTTGACATGACCGTTGAGGACCTTTGACCTGTGACTTTGAACAGCTCCTTTGACACGACCTTTGACCTCTGACTATTTGAATCTGAATCTGAATGCTGAAAAAATGAGTGTTCTTGAGGAAAAATGCTGAATCTGAATCTGAGATCGCCAACTTTTCCAACCCCAACCTCAAGATCCCAAAGGCATCATCAAGCGATGCGTTCTGTACAAATTTCCTCGCTTGGTGGATGACAGATTCAGCCCCGTGATGTCGATGCGATGCACATCCATCACATGATCAAAAACTGAGAACGGGATGAGGAGGCTGACCGCATCTCCCTCCTCATCCTGCTCGGGATCAAAGTCCCAAGCCAGCACCTTTGATGCCGGTTGGAGCACCGAAGGCAACGTCAATGTCTCGTTGAGTGAGACATCGTCTGCAGGGATCCAGGCGCCGAAAATGTCCAGGACCTTCTTTTTGCGCCCGGCTCGCATGTTCATCTCTGGTGAACGTGTTGGATGGTACCACGCAAACCTTGGTTTGTGGCTGTCAATCAAACTGCTCCACCTGAAAACTTGAATTGCCAAACCGTTCAATGCCTCCAAAGAACAATCCCTGCTCTTCGCCATCGTAATTTACCAACTCCATCAAAACTCCGAGAACGATGGGCAGCGTTTGATCTTTGCCAGCCACAACACAGAAGTCGCCAGGGCCAATGAAAGCCTTCCTGGCAGGTGCTCGCGACTCGTCCAAGCCTGTCATGGTGACAAGAGAATCCTGAGGCAAGTGGCCGATGTCAGCCCCCATCGAAATTGAGTAGTAGATGTCATTTGGGATTTCCAGGGGGTCTGGCTCTCTGGCGACAAGCTGGCACGGGCCCAAATGAGCACTTCTCAAATCCGAAATCATAGTCTCCTCAGTGCATATGAATGAACCCACCCAACCAAAGATCTAACATGTCGCAAAAATAATTTATCATCAAGCTTCCAGAGATGGGCCAGCATCTGGTCCATCCAAATAAGCCCGCAATTCACGAAGTTGCTCCCTTGCGACTTGGCCCGATGCTGCCAATGAGGCTTCCTTAGGCCAAGATCAGACAAAAAACTATTAATAGAAATCACGAATCATAGCTACAAATGCCCAAGCTTCCAACTTGTCTAAGAAGTTCAAGTGCTTCGCCTTTGATTGCTCATCAAACTCATGCTTCACCAAAGGCGGTTTTGCCGTGGCAAACACGGCAACGCGGTCATACTCAACCAGCAAACGTGGTGTTGACCATGACTCATCTGACACGTATTGCCTCCACTTGACCCAAATCCCCATATTGTCCACATAGAGCCGGAGGGAGTGGACATTTCGATATCGGTGAAGCTCGATGCCATACAAGGTGCGAAGGTGAGTGAAGTCGTAGCTTGAACCGTGGTGGCTCCAGTTCATGGCAAATGCCTTCAATGACTGGGAAGAGATAGTGGCCATTTCGTCCATTGTGAAATACGTTCGCCCCCTCAACGATGTAATCAATCTAGAAAAGAACCGGTCCAGCGATCCGTGAGTGTGTCCCACCAGCGGGTATTGAAATTCCACAGCCTTCAACTCAGTGCCATTGTGAAGGGTTGCCAGCAGCCAAATGGCCCAGCATACGCATGTACTGTTCTTGGTCTCTTTCGGGGTGTTGTCGGCCCCCACATACAAGCACTGTGGGAGCCGGCCCTCTTTCATAGCGGTACGATGGAGTTGCCTCGTGAGCATTGTTGCCTGAGAGTTGGCTCCATGGGAGGCGTTCTCCAAGGTGGTGGTCAGGCAGAACTCATCCTCACCTCAGGCACTCTGCGGAGCTTGCGTGAAACAAAAGCTGCAGAAAACTGATTTTGCACGTGTATCCAAGATGCGCTTTGGGCCAGCGTAATGCACACCCACAACGCCAACAACAAAGCGCTCCCCCAGCTTGAACAACTGTGTGGCAAGCCTTGGTGGTGTTCAAGACGCTTTCTGAACAGCAGGAAAAATGACACAGTAGCAAATATTGAAATCAGTAACATATCATGAACGCATGGGAGGATGGTCTTGTTCTGGTCACACTTGTCAATTGACAAGTACCTGACAGCAAGGGTCAGATGGTCAGTGGCAATGTCGCGCATCAAAATCATTCACTGCTGACATTCACACGCCCTCAAACAGAGGTCACCAATCTTCTCCAGTTCGCCGGCACATCTCTTGACACCTTGCAATTGCCAGCCGCTGCGCTGCCTGGAAGGTGTAGTGTCTTCCTGGAACCAATCACGAATACCTATGCAATTCAAGTCAGTCAGTCACAGTCAGGCAGTGAATCACAGTCCTAATCGCTTCTTCACAGCGGTGAGAATCTGGAGTTCACTTCTCGGGGTCTTGTCCAACATGTTCTTCAGAAAGGTGCAGGCCGAGCAAGCGGTGAACATGGACTCCTTTGTTCAGCACAAATGAGAAGTCACATGGCTTATGCCTTCCGACAATCAACTTTACGGCTTCAATCGAGAATCTGATTTGGCAATGCGAACCCAAGGCAGCTCGTTGGTCCAAGCTTTGCGAAAGGTCGATAAATCCGCAGGCTTTCCATCCAAATGCCCCAAATTTTGCTCACTCCTAGGTGTGACATGGTGTGACAATTTGTATGAACATGTCACGCATCACCCTTTGGTTTCACATACTTGGATTTGCTACTGACGTTTTTTCTCAATATAGCCTAAGGTTCCTCTCAAAGTCATACTGCGAATGGTAGAAAAACTTCCTGCCCGCTGGAAGATAGATCTGGAGGCTCATCGGTGAACGCTCCCCGTGCGTTTCAGCATATGTTTCGATCCACTGTCTGCTGTCCAGGTAGCGGTGGGCCTTTGCTTGATTGCGGATTGCCGTCCAGGCAAGGGCGTCACTACGCCAAATGCTCACCACTCCTTTCTCGATCTTGTTACGAATGTTCTGCAAGGTTCCACTGGATATCCCTGTAAGCTTTTGAAACGCCCTGCTGCAAATCCTCACTCCAGCAAACTTGAAGGTCCCAGGGTTGTCCTTGACTAAGTCTAACAGCATCTGCATTCGCCTGTCCCTGGGGAGGCTGCTCCAAAGAAAGCGCCAGTTCCTGAGTTTGGTCCAAATCACAGCTCAGCTTAGATAATGTTAAACCTGGGCGTCTTTCTGCGCTTTAACCGGGCCACTTCACGATTGCAGGGTTATCCACGAAGGTGCTCAAACATTCATGGTGTTCACGGCCAACAGCGCACTCACCTGCAATGTGGTTTTTCCTTGGTTGCACGAGTCGATTGTTCATGTGTGGCAAGCGCTTTGAATCTGATTACTGACTCTGATTCGCAAGCGGTTTTCTTGACTTGACGCTGAATGACAAAATGAGCCTGAGATTCAATGCCGCTTGTGCTCAGAAACCTTTCCAAACGCAAAATGGATTTTGAAGACAATGCTCTGGACATCGAATCATCGCTTTGCATGTTGACCTTCTGCAGGGACAGTGTTGCAACAGCATTCAGTGCCCGCTCTGCCTTCAGAAATTTGGCAGAATCGGGCAAGGCCTTGCGATCAACGGGACAAATCAAAACCAAGTGGCCAAC